ACACTGGTTACACAACTGGTCACACTGGTCACACTGGTTACACAACTGGTCACACTGGGTACACTGGTTACACAACTGGTCATACTGGGTACACTGGTTACACAACTGGTCACACTGGTCACTGGTACACTGTGTGTGTGTGTGTGTGTGTGTGTGTGTGTGTGTGTGTCAGAGGAAGTGGGCTCTTCCTGGCAGCAGTGTCCTCTGGGAAATGTAGTTATGTCCTGTCCAGCTCAGCCTCGTCCTTCCTTCCTGTGCAGAAACAGACACTGGGCCCTGTTCCAATCCAGTTAGCTCCAGTCTGTCAGACCTCCTCCCAGTGTTACCAGTATGATTCCACAGCTGTACTGGTGTGTCTGAGTGTCAGCCACATTAAGGTCTGTCTCAAACCAGTGAGAGGACGGTCACACAGAAACACCTCAGACAGATGCGACGACTGTTTTCATGAACACTGACATATTAAGGATCAAATGAAAACGCTCCCCGTGGTCCCGTGACTGTAACGTGTGACACGTCAGAGAAACATCCAGACACACAGGAGACCCTGCCTGTCAGTCTGAACTCAGGGCACCACAGGTCTGAAAGTCTGATGATACGCCACTCTCTACTGTCCCTGAGCACATCACAACATCACATGTTCACTTTGTTCATGTTTGAACGCACCCCGACTCTGACCTCTAAGGAACATAAGTCTTTCAGTGTGTTTTACTAGTTACTTAACGGTTGATTTTAACTGGTTATTTAAGGCATTTGACTGGTTTTATAATGATTTTTACTGGAGATTTAAGGTGTTTTATTGGTTATTTAAGTTGAACTGGTTATTAATTTAAGGTGTTTGTTCTGTCACAGGGACATCAAACCAGACAACGTCCTCCTGGATGTTAATGGTCACATCCGCCTCGCAGACTTCGGCTCTTGTCTCCGTATGATGGAGGACGGCACGGTAACACACCAATACGTCACACAGTCATGTTGAGTTCAACGTTAACTGAGTTCAGTCTCTGTGTGAAGCAGCTTCGCTTCACTGGGTTCAGTTTGAGAGTGAACTGGTCTGACTGGACAGTTAACTGGTTTTAATGTAGAGAAGTGAGTGCTCCAGAGACAGACTGAAGGACTCGTCCTGTGGTCTCTGTGGTCTCGGTGCAGGTCCAGTCCTCCGTGGCGGTGGGCACTCCAGACTACATCTCCCCAGAGATCCTGCAGGCGATGGAGGACGGGATGGGCCGCTACGGACCGGAGTGTGACTGGTGGTCTCTGGGGGTCTGCATGTACGAGATGCTGTATGGAGAGACGCCGTTCTACGCCGAGTCGCTGGTGGAAACTTATGGCAAGATCATGAACCACGAGGTGAGAAACACCTGCTCAGGTCATCTGAAAATGTCCAGCAACTAAAATGTTGATCCAGTCGAGTCAGATGTTTTTAATAGAATCAGACTAAAACAAAGAAGTGTCAGATCTTCTGTGTGAGCGCTGTGAGGACATGAGGACAGTTAGGACTGTGAGGACATGAGGTTGTAAGGACTATGAGGACAGTTAGGACTGTAAGGACTATGAGGACAGTTAGGACTGTAAGGACTATGAGGACTGTGAGCACTGTGAGGACAGTTCAGACTGTGAGGACTGTTCAGACTGTGAGGACAGTTAAGACAGTGAGGACTGTCCCCAGATGATGATTCGTGGGACAGACAATAAGTGGAGCTGCTCCGTATTTCAGCTCCTCTGCTTTTTCCAGGTTATCTGTTTGTCTCCAGACTCTCGTCCTACTTCCTCTTTTCTAAATCTGAACGGGTCTCAGTGGACGGACGCCGGCGTCCTGCTCTCCATTTCTGTCTCATTATCTCTGTCCGTCCTCTTTGCTCCCCTCACACTGTTTCTCCTCGCTGTTTGTCTCCAGGACCGTTTCCAGTTCCCCTCCCACGTGACCGATGTGTCCGAGGATGCCAAGGACCTGATCCAGCGCCTGCTGTGCTCCAGGGAACGCCGGCTGGGCCTGAACGGGATCTCTGACTTCAAGAGCCACCCATTCTTCAGCGGGATCGACTGGGACAACATCCGGTCCACCGAGGCCCCCTACATCCCCGACGTGTCCTCGCCCACTGACACCTCCAACTTCGACGTGGATGACGACGTCCTCAAGAACCCGGTGAGGACAAACACCGAGTCCTGAACCAGTTAGTCACAGTGTACCAGTGATTGGTCTGTCAGATCCTTACTCAAGTCCTTCAGGTCCAGACTCAAGTCCTTTAGGCCCTGACTCGAGTCTTCAGGTAATGGCTCGAGTCGTCAAGGTCCTGCCTTTAGTCCTTCAGGTCCTGACTCGAGTGTCTCGGGTCTAGCCTGTAATCTTCAGGCCCAGACCCAATACTTTTAGGTCGTGACTCGGGACTGTCAGGTCCTGACTCTAGTCCCTAAGGTCCTGACCCTAATCTCACAGGTCCTGACCTTAGTCTTTCTGAGGTTTTGACTTAATCTTACAGGTCCTGACCTTAGTCTTTCTGAGGTTTTGACTTTAGTCTTACAGGTCCTGACCTTAGTCTTTCTGAGGTTTTGACTTTAGTCTTACAGGTCCTGACCTTAGTCTTTCTGAGGTCTTGACTTTAGTCTCTCAGGTTCTGGCTCTAGTCTCACAGGTCCTGTCTGGAGTCCCGCGGTCTGGTCCTGACCCATGACCTATCCGTATACTAACACACACTCCAGAATGTGACGGTCGTCGAGTCTCACTGAGTGTTTTTTCTGCAGGACATTGGCCCTCCAGTATCTCACACTGGTTTTACTGGGCAGCACCTCCCCTTCGTCGGCTTCACCTACACCACTGACAGCTGCTTTGCTGACTGCAGCTCCATCAGCCGGGTGGAGCTCGGCATCCGCCAGGAGGGGGAGGGTGAGGAGGGAGGAGGAGGAGGAGGGCAGGAAGTGGAGGCTTTCGAGAGGAGGATCCGCCGACTGGAGCAGGAGAAACAGGAGCTGAACCGAAAACTGCAGGGTGAGACACCGCGAGTACACGGACCGCCGTGTAGTACTGATATAGTTGTGATGTAGTTCTGAAGTAGTACTCTGATGTAGTACTAATGCAGTCCTGATGTAGTTCTGATGTAGTACTGATGTAGTTGTGATGTAGTTCTGAAGTAGTACTCTGATGTAGTACTAATGCAGTCCTGATGTAGTTCTGATGTAGTACTGATGTAGTTCTGATGTAGTACTGATGTAATACTGATGTAGTTCAGAAGTAGTACTGATGTAGTACTCTGATGTAGTACTGGTGTAGTTATAATGTAGTACTTTGATGTAGTTCCAATATAGTACTCTGATGTGGTACTGCTGTAGTTCAGATGTAGTTCTGATGTAGTACTGATGTAGTTCCGATGTAGTACTCTGATGTAGTACTGATGTAGTTCTGATTTGGTACTGATGTAGTTCAAATGTAGTACTGATGTAGTACTCTGATGTAGTTCCGATGTAGTACTCTGATGTAGTTCCAATATAGTACTCTGATGCAGTTCAGATGTAGTTCTGATGTAGTACTGATGTAATACTCTGATGTAGTACTGATGTAGTTTCGATGTAATGTTCTGATGTAGTTCTGATGTGGTACTGATGTAGTTCAGATGTAGTTCGGATGTAGTACTGATGTAATAGTCTGATGTAGTACCGATGTAGTTCCAATGTAGTACTCTGATGTGGTACTGATGTAGTTCAGATGTAGTTTGGATGTAGTTCCAATGTAGTACTCTGATGTAGT